TACTCAGGGAATTTGTTCAATTTTTTTCATTGGTCGGTGCTATTTTTTAGGTCACAGGGACGTCGTTGAAAAGCTTATCAGCAATGGAGCTAAAGTTGATCCCAGAGACAGCCGTATGCAGACACCTCTTCATGTTGCTGCTGAGAATGGTAATTTGGAATATTTATGCCTTCATTTCATTAGCTGTTATGAAGGGTGAAGTTGGACATATCTATTCGTGAGACATAAAAGAATGTATGTTTTATTGTCGATTTATATTTTTGAAAAGGAAAGTATGTTTTCTGTTGATTCTATCTGCGTTAAAAGGAAGTATGTTGGCCCGTCTAGCCTCCGCGGTTTTTCACGGTTTCCGCGGAACTGATAAAAGATAACAACTTGATGTCTTCGGCAAAGTTGTAGTACTCGAGGTCTTCTATAACATTGCTGAAGATACTAGAACTGATAAGAGATAAGCGATAACTGACTTCATCAATGTTGTATAAGACCTCGAATGCTACAACTTTGCCGAAGACACCAAGTTGTTATCTCTTATCAGTTCCGCGGAAACCGTGAAAAACCGCGAGGACCCGCTAAAAACGAACATACATTCTTTTAACCATTATTAGTTGCAATGAAACATACTTCTCTTTATTGCTACGAAGTTGGACCAACTTGCGTTCTTTTACATCTCACTAATAGATATATTTTCATAAAATAAGAAATTGGTTTGATCTTTTTCATTGATCTGTATTGTTTTTCAGGTGATGATGATGTCGTTGAAGAGCTCATCAAGAGAGGATCCGATCTCACTGCTTTAGACGTATCTGGGAAGACACCTCTTCATCTAGCTGTTATCAATGGTTCATGTTCCATAATGAATTGATATGAACTTTTGAATTTTTGATTGATCGATATTTTTTTTAGAAGAAAAAGATTTTGGTAATAGACGTTTTTGGAGGGGTTTTAGACGTTTTTGTCAATTTTGCCAGATTTTTGTCACATTTCTGGATGGTTTTGTCATTTAAAACGAATTATTTTAGACGAATTCGTTAAAAAAAAGGGACGATTTCTTTTAGACGAAATTGCCATTTTTTGGACGATTTTGTTTTATTTTTAGACGTTTTTGTAAGCAGCCTTTTTTAAATTACTAAATCATCTCGAAATGTGACAATTTTTTCTTAACAAAAAAAAATAACAAAACTCTTCGGGTTTTAAAATAACAAAATCGTCTAAATACGAGTTTTCTGGTAAAATTGACAAAAACGTCTAAAACTCACCAAAAACGTCTATTAACAAAATGTTTATTTAAAATGACAAAATCGCCTGAATACACATTTTCTCGAAAAAATGACAAAATCATCTAAAATCCCAATTTTTTTCAATATCTTCTTTATTTTTTACTTTAGGAATCACACATTTTGCCGAATTTATTTTTTTTCATTCGATTATTTTTATTTTTTCTCCACTACACATTGCATATGAGCTTAGTTTGATTCCAAAAAGTGAAATGATCAAAACCATACCCAGTGAATTTGATAATACATACACTGAAGATGGCTTTCCAATCCGGAGAGTATCTTTTCATTTGCAAACGACTGATGTAAATAATTTTATATTCTTCTTTATTTATTTATCAATGAAGAAGATATTGAAAAAGATTGGGATTTTTAGATGATTTTGTCATTTAAAACAAATTATTTTAGACGATCTTGTTAAAAAAAGGGACGATTTCCTTTAGACGAAATTGTCATTTTTTTAAGACGATTTTGTTCTATTTTCGAACGTTTTTGTAAGCAGCCTTTTCAATATGATCCAGCAAAAAATCCTAGCTAAATCAACTAGAACTTAATTCAATTTATGATAAATTCGTTTAATTTTCTTTCGCTTCACTTCATTAATCCGTTTTTTTCAATTTTAAGTAAACGATAAAGGTAACCATCGATATTCATGTTCACTAAATTAGAAATTGATTGAATCTTCATCATTGATTTATTTCAGGTCAATTGGAGACCGTTAAAAAGCTTATCAAGAAAGGAGCCAATGTTAATTCGACGGACAGACTTAAGCGAAATCCATTTCACTATGCTGCTATGAATGGTTGTTGAATATATTTCCATAAAAATAAGAATTTGGTTTGATCTATTTCATTGATCTGGATTATTTTTCAGGCCTCAAGGATATCGTTGAAATGCTCATCACAAATGGAGTCAATCTCAATGATAAAGACTTTAATGGGAGGACAGCTCTTGATTTATCTATTCGCTATGGTCAATATTGGACATACTGGATGCTCCGTGATAAATTGATTTGTAATTTTTCATTGATCGATATTATTTTTTAGGTAAGGATGATGTTGCTGAAGAACTCATTAAGAGAGGATCCGATCTTAATTCTAAAAACAAGAGTCAAGAGACACCTTTGCATTTAGCTGCTGCGCTGGGTAACTTTGAATATTTCCACTAAATAAGAAATTGATTTTTCTCATTGGTCGATATTATTCTCCAGGCAACTTAAAGATCGTTCAACTTCTTGTCGAGAAGGGCGCCAGTGTTACTGCAACAAACAAATTCAAGCAGACACCGTATGAGGTAGCTGCTAAGTATGGTGATGAAGGTAATGCTGAACATTTTTGTTGAGAAAAATATGTGATTCAAACTTTATCACTGATCGATAATATTTTCCAGAGCACAAGAAGGTTGCTGCCTATCTTAAAACCAAACCTTAACCATTGCTGCTGTTAACATTGTGTCAAAAAGTACCACAAGTTATTTGTCTTTGAAATTGCTTACAGGTATAGATATTGAGTAGAATATTTTTCTTCCTGGATTTGTGCAACTTCAACGAATATCCGTGCTGAATTTGAACGCGATATATGTGAGTGCTACGCCGTAAGAAACCAACGGCGATGTTAGTTTTTGTGCTTAAATCAAATGAAAATTTCACACTCCGTTGAATCAATGCAGTTTCAAATTGAATGTTTGTTAAGGTTGTGCCAATTCAGAGAAAGAATACTTTACCCGAAACCTAAGCCACAAGCAATTTGCATGAAAATGCCAAGTACTTTTCGTTGACAGAATGTAAATAAATCAAACACAGTAAATCATAAAAATAAATCAAAATTTCGATCAGTTCTGAAGTGACTCTTGTTCACTTTCAAGGGAAACCAATTGTAATAAATAAAAATATTTCATTGTTGAGCTGATATTTTTTCGCCTTTTGTTCTGTATCAACTTTCATATTCAGTTCAATCTGCATTGTATAGAGAAAAAATTTCTTGGCCAGCTGATGGACTACATCAAAATAAAGCAGCATCCATCATGATAATTTGTTCTCTGAAGAATAGCATTTGAACTGTTAGTTTCAATTCAATGCGACAATTTCTTTTAAAATGACACCAATTTGATGAGATGAGATGAGCATTGAGCATATTACATTGAGTTTACATTGTAGACTCTACAGTCTACAGCCTAGACTATGCTATATACAGCATCAATGAGCACACCCAATTTGTATTTTATATACTCTTCCCGATGCCCCAAATACTTTACAATACCAAAATGCCAAAACGCCGAACCCTAAAATTTGTCTATATCCCATATGAACGTTCCGCGCTACGCGCTTCATATTGAATGAAACATACACACAGAATACAGCCGATTTAGCGGAACAGCGCGAGACAGCACGGGACAGCGGAAATGTGAGTACACTATACACAGCGCAAGCATCTGTGTTAGTGTACATGAGCACACTCACACAAACGATTTGCGTAACACACGAATACAATATATGCGGCACGAATGTGTTCTAACGTGCTGCACTTGTTCTTTCATTCTTTCTTCCTTTCTTTCTCTCATTCTCTTCATTTTCTAAATATTCACGAGAAAAGGAAAGATTGATGAACACATCGTTTGTGTGTTACGCACTTCGTTTGTGTGAGTGTGCTCATGTACACTAACACAGATGCGTGCGCTGTGTATGGTGTACTCACATTTGCGCTGTCCCGCGCTGTTCCACTCAATCGGCTGTAAAAAAGAATCCACGATTCTCGATTTGCATTTCGTTGCACAAAGTGTACTTCGGCCACACTGAAGATGATGAAAAAATATCGCATGAAAATCGATGCCTTCGTCGACGATTCGAATGCTATTTGTGCGAGTTTGAAGGTTTCCATAATGGTTACTTAAATTATCACATGCAATCGAAACACACGGGTGAGAAACCATTTGCATGTGCTGTTTGTGGAATTTTGTCTGAAATCCCATCTAAAACGACATTTGGCCACACAAGCAAAACCACGTCCAATCCGTTGCTCAAAATTCTGGAAACGATTCTCAGAAGGAAGAAAGAAGGATTAACACGAAGGAAAGTGTAATCGTCGTCTTCACCAGTGTTACTTGTGCAAAGTTAACACAGTTGATTCATTACGTCTCAGAAACCACATGTGAGGTCACCATACGGGCGAAAAACCATTTTCATGCGACTTCTGCGCCACTCGCTTTGTTAAAAAAAAATCAACGCTATTAGCCGCATGCAAGGCCACCATAATTTGAATATCAGAATCTAAGTCTACAGAAAAACAAACGTTAAATTTGAATAATGTTTTCCATATATAATGGTTCCAGATCTCAACTTTTGAAGATGACAGTCATCTTTTTTTGAGGCTTGTCATATCATATCATCTTTGCACAAAAGTCATCTTTTTTCTCAAAGCGTCATATTTTTTCAAAGAAATTCATCGAAATGTTATCTTTTTGAAGATGCGATCGAAAAATAACTATATTTTTCTGAAAATTACTTACAAGAAAAAAATGATGTCATCTTTTTTGAAAATTTTGTCATCTTTTTTCCTCCTCTCCAAAGATGAAAATCATCTTTTTTCGCAGATTTGATCTGGGACCATTAGCTATAAGGGATTAAAAAGTTTTTGACTATAACCAAATTGCCACATTCGGCCAATCTAAAGCATAGATAATTGTATAATCCAGCTCGAGCAAGAACATAGGGTGATAATAATCCGTTTGGGTGCTTTTCAGGCAAAGGCTTATTGTTGCCACAAACAATAGATGTAACATGTTATTTTAACATTGTAAGATATGAAAATAGAGTGCGTCTTCTTCATTTCGAAAATATTACTTGTTTAATGTTTCTAAATGACACATTGTGATGACTTCAATCTATAAACCATGCCATTGGTTAGTTAGGGAAAAAAATGTCAACATCACGATATGATTCGAATTCTCTTCGGATTAGATTTGGGAACCGGTATTTTGGACATAACTAATTTTACTTTTTTATTTTTTTTTTACATGGAAACTGTTTGAATTTTCGGACAAATATCCAAACAATTACACACTATTCTCTCTCCTTCAGCTATATCTAAACTTTGACATAATTCATCGTTTCAATTTTTACTAATGCTTTGAACATTTGCTCGTTTAATGAATTTTTACCACTAGGTTTTTGTATTTAGGTTTTTTTTATAATAACATTTTCGGGCACAACATGTCACATGAGCCGCAAATGTATCATGTCAGTGGGTAAAAAGTAAAAAACAACATTTTTTGATAGAAATAACAAACGGAATTCTTACAATTCCAATATTTCAACCAGTTTGTTTGGTTTAAATCAAAATTTTCCTCTTTATTTTCTCAATGTGTCACATCACTTGACTAATTTTAACATAAGTCATATATATATATATGACTTGAGATATTTTAACACTGGAATTTGATATAAAATCGATACATTTTAGCACATTTGTTTTTGGTAACTACTTGTGTTGATCATTTTCAAAAATTAATTGTGTACATCGATGATTTGAACCAATTTCTTACAAATAAATGAGTCTGATGATTTCACCAAATGTGATTTTGATGCAATTGATGAAGAGATGAGTCGCGATTTGATGTGATTTAAAACACCTTTGCTAATTTTCTAATAAGCATTAAGCATATTGAAGACCAATTTCAACGCGATTGCTGTAATAGCCCAAAGACACTGATGATGAGTCACACTAACTGCTTCAATTTTTAAATCAAGAAAATAGAATCGTGTAACAACCGATGCTATTGTCTACCAAATTATAGTCCATCATATTCATTAGAACAGTAAACAAATTTCATGCTAATGTCGATTCACGTTCGTAGCAACCGTGTTATATCTTCAATGGGCTAATGGTGTTTAAATCGCCGGATGACAACAACACTAGGTTTTGGTTTAATGAAAACTGGATAGCTTTTGACGACTGTGCGAACTCGATCGACTGGCACTAAAATGTGAAATGGTAAATATTCACAATTGGAAAGTTTGTTTCGTTTTTTTTTTTCGACGACTTTTCCTTTCATTTTGTAAATATTTTGTTTGATAATATAAATTTATACCTGGAACCGGTACTGGTTTCTCTACAACGTATGGCTTGGTGATATCTGCATACGATTGAAGGAAAATTTCTTTGAATGTATTCCAATAATCAATTAATTTGTCACCATCGCATGGAATTTCGACCGGATACTCATAGCCCGGATATTCATCGTCAGCATAGTCGTAGATAGGGCCTTTGTAAAAACCTTTGTAATATGGTCCCTTGTAGAAACCTTTGTAGTACGGTCCTTTGTAAATTCCTTTGTAAAACGGCTCTTTGTAAATTCCTTTGTAA